ATAAGGCTTGCAAGCAGACTGCTACAAGTGTTGACTAGATATACATATATGTATGTATACATATGTATATCTTTATACATATATAATGTACATTTCAAAAATTAAATAAATGGCTAGACTGTAGGCAGATAGTTTTGAAATGTTCACGTACGCCCACAGCGAACAGCGAATTGGCATACAAAAAAGGTAAAATCGACGTTAGGTAATAATAGTATGCAGTCTCATTATCATTGTCAAATGTAAACAAAGCAAATATTTCAAAAACAAAAACAAAGCTTACCCGGAGCTGTTAAAAGATTTGCATTAATAGTGCGCATACGCAGCTTTGAGTCGACTTCGCTTTTCGAGTGTTCGTCGGAATTTTTGCTTCGACGCAGGCAAGAGAATTTGTGACCCATTGTAGAATATTTGCTTAGATAAGCTAATGTTGACGAGTCTTCTCTCTCACACCACCTTGAGTATTTGAATCTATTATTGCACCCGACGCGCACCGGACCTGTTGTCTCTTTCTCTCTCGCTCTCTGTTATCTCTTAAACTGGTTTCGAGAGAGCGCTTAGTATTCCCCAAGGTATTTATGCTTAAATATCGAATTCGAACTTAACACGCCCGCTGTCTAAAATTAACTGACAATATTTAACGCTATAAAAAATTTAAATAAGAACTGTAACATAATTTCGTTTAAAATATTACATCATCAACACGTACGAAGCGACTGACACAGCGCATCGAAATTTTGGGACTGATCTATGCGTATACAGTGTTTTTTTTTCCATTTTTATAAAAAGTATTTGATTTTCCATTGACTTGACCCTAGCGGCCAAGTGGCTGGCCTCGTCTCTCCAAAAAGAATAACCAGACATGCGTGTTGTAAATTGATCGGCTTTAATGGACTCAAGCAGCAACAGCGCTGATCACATTCTGACATTTATTTGTTGTTTTGATTGAATTCGTTGATAATTTGAATTAGTTAACTAGTTGACATCTAAACTCAGGTGTTAAGTGGGTGCAGAACCGGATTGGCTGCGGCTGCCGCTGTTGCACTCTCTAAGGCCGCTGCTGTGTCCTCCTTGCTGCCTGTTTGTGATAGATGCTTAACGATATCCACCCAATCCCAGCCACGTGCACGTTCGCCCTTATGATCGGTGCGTTCCCATTGGCGGCGCTTTTGCGCTTTTGTCAATTGCTCCTTCTTCGGTTCCTTTTGCTTGGCATCTGCTGTCGGATCTGATATCTTCAGCGCTCCAACACCGTCGTCTACGACAGCCATGGCGGGCGCAGTTTCGGGCTGTAAGGCAGTCAGTTGCTCCAAATTGTCTTTAAGGCATTCGAATAGGGTATATGTCATGCCACAGCCCAACCATTGGGTTGCCTCTGTTTTGAGTGCTGATTCTATTGCATCCTTCACAACGGGTAAGCTGAAAGTACAGTGTTCTTAAAAAGATGCGTAGTGTTGTGGTATTTCATTAACACTTACAGATTGCGGTTGTAGAAGGTATTCAGATTGATCGTGGGTGCCTCGTCGGGATAATTTTCGCCCCATTGTAGCTCCACTAGAAATGATTTATAGCTATCCTCTTCGCCATACTAAAGCAGAGAAACAAATTATTTATAGCTACATATTTGCCGTGATTGGTGCATGTGGCCCTTACCTTGTATTGAAATGTGGTCAAGTTGATTTCTTTGAAATTTTCATCGCCTTCGTAAATGGATTGCAGAGCTTCGCGCTCATCTGTCTGCTGTTCGAGTGGTGTCGACATTATTTGCAAATGTAATGAATGTGTTCAAACAACACACATTTCACAAAAATAATAGAATAAAGCAACAATTTAAACTAAATAATTTTTGGCTTTAATACAAAACAAAGCAACAGCTGAGTGCTGCCGGCAGTGAAGGAAGAACAAGAAATTTTCCATTCACACTGGTAGTATAAATACACTGACTGTCTGGTCAGTGATAAATATGTGCATCTCGAGCTATAAAATACAAGTGCTCAATAATAAACTAATTTTAAATTATATCCTCCGCAATATACGAAAATGTAGAAAACAAAATGCTTAATTTCTGGCATACTAAAAGAAAACAACATGAACTTAGACCATATTAAAAGGTGGCATCACCGGTTTTGTTTGGTAAAAAACGCGGTAAATTTTCAATTATCAAATGCAGCCACACTGCGTAGAATATATAAACAAATAGAAGCATTGCGTAAAAAATGCAAGTGCGCGGGTGAATCATCGGCAATTACTAATATCCATTAACTCATGTGTCTAGCGCGCCGAATAGTAAGCATAACAGCAACTTAGCTGAGCAGATAATCAGTTTAGAAATATGTCAATGGATGCGGACGCGGATCCAACGAAAGCAGCTACGGAATGTGCGCAATTGCTGGAATTTAAAGAATTTTTGTCCACAAGAGCCGTAAGCAGCGAACTGACCTCTGGCAACGAACTATCTCGCAACATTAATTGTGTAACGCGTAGCAGCACTGACACCTATAAAGTGAACGGCGATGAAAGGCGCGCGGAAATTATTTCAGCCGTTTGGAAATACCTATCAACCCAAGGCTGTCCGGTCTCCTTTCAGCTGAAGCTTCTCCATTTGGCCACCTCACAGCTGGAGCAGGAGATTTGTCATGCCAAGGAGCTGGAGCTGAATGAGGCAGACGGCAGCAATCCACAATATGATCTATTAAAATTACAAAAGTTTGTCAACCTACAGCTGGAGAAGCTGTTGCTTAAGCTGACGGACAATGCAGCTATGGATAAGTTGCAGACCTATGCCGATAGTGGTGCGCTGTGCAAGGAGCCCTCTAGTTGCGCATGCGCCTTACAGCCCGCAGCACCATCGCACAGTGTCGCAGCTGTTAAGAATAAGCCGCGCAAAATGGAAGATCGCCATGTGTGCCTGGAACGTTTTGGTGAAATGTATCAGCTAGTGGATCACAAAGATTGCCGTTTCTTTGGCGTCTTCGATGGCCATTCGGGTGCCTTGTCCGCCACCTATGCAACCAGTCAGATACCCCATTTGTTGGCCAAGCAATTGCAGCGAGTGCGAACTAATGGGGAGTGCACTGTGGACTTCTATCGCAATGCCTTTGAGACGTCCTTTTTGCAGGCGGACGAACGGTTTGCTCGCAAACGCATCACCAGCGGCACAACTGCTGTTTGTGCCCTGATCGTGAACGGACAGCAGTTGTATATCGCCTGGGTGGGCGACTCCAAGGCGTTGCTTGTAGGCAAACGGACTCAGCTGCAGCTAGTCAAACCACACAAACCAGAGGCTGTGGATGAAAGGCGGCGCATCGAAATGAGCGGCGGCAGCGTCATTCATGCCCAGGGCCAATGGCGCGTGAATGGTATCTTGAATGTGGGTCGCTCCATTGGCGACTACAGCCTGGAGGCTGTCATAGCTGAGCCCGATTTTGTCGATGTGCAGCTAAGTGACGCGCATGATTTTTTGGTCATGGGCAGCGATGGGCTCTGGGATCATGTGCCCGAGGCCTTCATTGTGGAGACCGTCTATCAGTGCTTAGCGGAGCCGACCACCCAACTCGAAGACATTCCCAAATTGCTTGTGGAGGCTGCCAAGGATAGGGACTCACAGGATAATATAACTGTTATCCTCATTCTGCTCAAGAAGCGCGACCAAATCGTACAACGTTAGGCAATCAAAAGAACAGAATGTTGTTCACAGATTACCATTATAGTTATTCTGCATTTGTTGTCTGTTTATCATCACACACTTATTTTTGATTATTATTATTTTTAAAATATTTTTCTTTCCATGTAAATAGCTTTAGGCTCGCTAAACTTTCCTATTTTGATTCGATTCAACCACATTCGCCTGTGCCTCTCGAATAAGCTTAACATTTCGATCCAACTATATGTATATCCAATTATAAACACACATATACATGCATTTTAGAGATATATCATATATTTATATATATAGATATATACAGGTAAAATCATAATCACCAAGAAGTTAACATTGTTTTTGGCCGCTTTTTAATAGCTCACAGTGCTTCCACCCGATTCGATTGCTGTATATAAAGCAACCATATATAAAGCATATACATATGTATATATAGTTATAGTTATATATATAATCTATATATATATTGGCCCAGTTGACAAACGTAACGAAAATCCAACGAATCACTCGATTTTACAAACAATTTTTGTTTCATTCAGTGTAGTAACTAATGGAGAATATCAAAAATAATGCAAATCCTTAAAAGATTATACATTTTTAACGGAGATCCTTAAATTCAAGATCCTTGCCAAAATTTTAAAATTGTTATATCATAAGTATAAAATCTATTATTAAATTAGATTGTAGAGTACATAAATTCAAGTCACACAAGCAATATACAATTTTTGAATAATTAGCTATTTTATTATTCAGCAATTATATATTTTAATAAACACAAATTTACAAATTAATTTAAAAACAAAATTTTAAAGTTTTACCATTTAAACAAAAAAAGTTTAAGAGCCAAAATTAAAAAAATGTAAAAACTTGCATTGTTAAAAATGTCACAAATATAAATAATATATATTATAAAAAAATAAATTTGATAGAAAAATTTAAAGGAAACAAACACAAAATTAATTATAGAGTTATGCAAAAATATTTAATGGAAACCAGGTTGCAATAGACCTAACAGCAATCTATATATAAATATATTTGAATCCACAAATCCATGATGTATTTTAAAATTTCTGTTAAGAAATTGTTAACCTATAGAAACTTTAGCTTATAAATCCGCTATATTTATTTAATCCAATTTTTGAAATTTAAGGAAAAAGTTTGTCAATTGGGTACATATACACCCATGCATTCACACACCGTTAGATATGTTTATACCCAGCCATATATGTACAATGCGCACACACACCTGTAATCAGCGTTATTGTTGAGATCCCACACAGATTAAGTACCTTTTTATACAACAAAATCTTCAAGCATTTTAACGATAAAAAAAAACAGAAAGCAAACAATTTTTAAACAAATTTTTTTATTGGAATAAAGTGAATAAAAGCGATTTGATGTTTAATTGGGTGGCGGATGAGGCGGTGGTCCATAGGGCGAAGGATGCGGTGGATACATGTGAGGTGGCATACCCATGGGCATGCCATAGGGATGTTGTGGCGGAGGTGGTGGTGGCAGCGGTGGTCCCTGCATATAGCCATAGCCATGCGTGGGCATGGGGAATCCCATGCCGGGAATCATATTGAAATTGGCCGCAGGTGGATGATAATTGTGATAGTAATTCGAATGCCAGCTGCCTGGATTGTAGCTGGGATGATAGTTGTACTCCGAGTCTCTCGACTGCGAGCGAGATTGATTGTGCTGGCGCTGCTGCTGCTGCTGATTGCCAAGGGAATAGTTCTGCGACTGGCGTTGATCGCGTCGACCCCGCTGTCGAGGCGCTGCCTCGCTAGCTTCTGTCTTCGATGTTGTCGCCGTAGTCACCGTCTCCGTAGAGTCGGTGGAATCGGTGCGTTCACGTTGACGCTTCTTGCGCAGCTCCCAACGCGCTTCGCGCTCCGCCTCATCGTCAGAGTAATCGATGAAGCGCGCTGGTGGTTCCACATCGTGCTCCCACGATGCATCCGAGCCGCGCACCTGCATCAGTTTGGACAGTATAACGAATTGTGTGTGCTCTGTTTGTGGGGCACAGTAGACAATGTCGCCAACGTTGATGTTGCGCTCTTTGATCTGCTGATTGGAATTGAAGCGAACGCAGTAAAGTGGATCGGCCACCTGGCCGAGCACATCGAAGACCTGGCCAAGTACCTTGCGTCCCTTTTCTAGAAAGAGCACAGTGTCCAAATCGAACAACATAGAGTTGGGCAGGACACTGACTAAAACTAATTGATCCACTATAGATTGCACTTTGCCCAGCTCAATGCATTCGTCCTCGGGAACGGTTATCTCAAGCTGTTCAATTGGAGGTAGGTCATCCAGCAGCATCTCGCCCCGCACTCTCGGCGGCTGTCGACGGCGGGGCTTCGAATCATCTTCCAGATCATCATCGTCATCGTCATCACAATCATCGGTATTTATGCGTTTGTCTATTTTCTTGCGCAATACTGTAAGATATTCTGCCTCTGAATCGGAGTCTGATTCACTACTGGTCTCGCTGCTCGAGCTGACGGCGACAGCTTGACGACGCATGCTGGAGGGTCCTGTTATTGGTACTTCCACAATATCATCATTGTCGCTGTCTGCTATTGGTTGTGGCTCTTCCACGTCTGAGTCCATATCAGAGCCATAGCCAGAGAGTAAACTTAAGCCATTTGTTTGTTTCGCTGATGCAGTTAAACCTTCATTTGTTGGCGACGGTTCGCAGTCCATTGCACTCACAGCAGCGACAAGTTCTCCTTGAGAACTAGCAGCTATTGCCTGGTGGTTTACTTCTGGTTCAACCACTGCATTGCTGTCAGTTTCTTGTTCCACTGTTCGATTGACACTGACTGCCGACGAGCAGTTTTTCACTTCCATTTGAGAATTTGCAGCATCGGGGCTGATCTCGTCTTGAGGAGTTGATTTTACTGGCTCGATAGTCCGCTCTGTTTCTGCTGATGTTACCGACGTTGACATTTCTTCTTCTTCTTCTCCACTGTTCAGCTCTGCTTCCACTGGGGTTGCCTCTGCTGTCTCTGCAGGTGAAGCACAATCTAAAACCATTATATTTAAATTATTATGCGTACTTTTATAGGACAACTAAATCTACCTTTTTGCGTTTGGCCTTGCTCCTGATTGGTTGTTGTCGCTGTTTCATTCTCTTTGTGCACACTTGCAGTCGCTTTTTTTGGGCTTGCTTCACTAACAACTGTTGTTGAATCATTTTCGGCACTCACTTCGATAGCTGTTGCTTGCACAGTTTCTGTGGCGATGTTTGCATTTGAGGCCACTGCTGTCACTGTTACCTCATTGGTAACGGTTGCTGTCTCCGTATTGTTAGACGGCGTCACTTCTGTTGCTTCCATAGTTAACGAAATAAATGTTAAGCTACTCCCTAAACAAAAACACGTCCACCAGGCGCACGTGTTTATTTGAAACGGACAGGCAATCGAAACGGGTATCGATATATAGTATCGATACGCCACAATATTTCACTCGAAGAGTTGAGAGCACTGCTGCCAACTTGTTTTTATTGTGGAGGAGTGAAAACAATTTGAAAAATAACACATCAAAAAGCGGTAAAACTAATTGTTTTAAGTTTTACATTATATTTCATTAAATATTTTTATTGGTTGGAATTCATCATCTTATGACAGATACATACGAGGCTAATTTTTATATAGTTTATAGCAATATTTTCCATGCCCTCTTAATAAATATACATACATTCCCTAAAATTCAGAGGCTGCCACCTATATTTTAACAAAAATAAACTTATTTCTAAAAGTTCTCCGTATCGGTCTTCTAAGTACTTCTTCCCAGTATATGATCCAAACATACGCTCCAAGTATTTCGTCTAGGTTTTTAATGCTCAGCTGAACGATCACCCACCTCACTTGACTGCACTGAACGACT